GTGGGGGGGAGTGTGTCTCTGTACCCACTCCTAGGAGCAAGGCCAGGGGGGCAGGGCAGTGGTGGGCTGCACAAGCACTGCCCAGATGGCCAGATACCACCCCCATGCCACTGCTGCTGCTGTGCACCACATCACTTTCTCGCAGCCAGTTGCACGTGTAGCTTCACAGGCGGGTGACTGGTCTTGCACCCGGCCAATCATGCGCTGCCCATCACCGGCCCATGGAGCCACACATGAGACCAGCCATGAGAAAGCAGTATGGGGCGCGGCAGCAGCACAGGGCAGTGACAGAGGTGTTGGCGACAATGGTAGTGATGGGAGTGGTGGCAGCAAGCCCTCCCTCTCCCTCTCCCCCCACAGCTGGCCAGGCACATGTGTGTGGCCCACAGAGGGGCACCACTGCCCTTGACCCCTGGCCCTGCTCCTGAGCGTTGGCACAGAGTGAGCTGAGGTAGGTGGCAGGGAGGCCCTGCAGTCTACCACATGGGGCTGGCAGTACCCAGCGCACCCCTCCCATTCCCCCTCTCCCAGGTAAGAAGCAAAGTGTGGGAAGGTGCTGGGGGAGACACCACCATGCCCTGGGGTGCACTGTGTTCACACCCACCCACCCATGCATATCCCCTACAGCCCTTCTAAGTACTCCTAGGGTTACATGTACCCCCGGTTGAGAGCGTATGAGCTAGTGTATGCCCTAGTCCTCCCAAATATTTATCTAGCTCAGAAACACATAGCTATTTTTCTCAGCAATAGCATTAATTCTTTGGATCAACTGTTCAAAAGCATGGATATTTTTCCATTTAGATACACCATCAACTTTCCAGTATAAAAATTGCATTTAAATTATATGAAAATGTTTTTAAAGATTATTATGGCAAAATACAGTCCAATGATTCCATGTTTAATATTGACTATAATTCTGCCTATGTAAATGGATAAATGTTATGTCCTACAAAGTGATTATCAATGTGCATTTTTTGCAAAATTATTTTATTTTTTTGTAATGGTATTAACATACTTTTTATTTTTCTTAATCTATCATCTCTTAACAGGTATTTTGACATTCTGAAAAATATTATAACATAGTGGGATATAATGTTACATTGTTTGAAATGTTTCATTGCAACAGTTAGAGAAAAGTCATTATTTTGTTGTGAACAAGGCAAGAAGTCTCTTCCAACCAGGCATACCTGTTTTCTACATGTTAGGAACACTTAGTTGTTTTCCTGCCAGAAAGTTTCCAGTTTGTACATATTATGTTGTCATATAGTTGGCTATACTGTAGGTATTTTCAAAAGATATTTTAAGCAACTATTAAGTTCACTGAATCAATCACCCTGTACTCTCTATATTGAATGTATACTCTCTTCTCTCTCTTTCTCTCTCTCTCTGCATTCCATGTATCCCATTGTTTTGGAGTCAACTTCTTGGATACATTGAAACAAGTGCTACTAACAAAGGTTCTGAGTCAGACAGGATAACCAAAACTCTTACAAAGTTTTTTATCTCTTTCTTTCACTTTTCCTTTACTGCACTATCTTGTCTGTCTGATTCTCACAGGAGACATGGATTACAACTGGTTGGACCATACCTCTTGGCATAGCAGTGAGGCATCCCCAATGTCTTTGGTGAGACATGTGGAGCCTTACCATTCAGTTTCCTTTATCATTTCACATTTCCTTTGTTTTATTTACACCTTTGCATGTTTTATTTTTTGTATCTTTTTTTTTTATCCTGCACCTGTAGGGAACAGTCAAAGGGGAAAAAGAAAAACTAGTGAGCAGGCAGTTTTGTCGGATTCTAACACCTTGTCTGAGAAACAAAAGAAAATGGTGTGCTTTGGTGGCCACTCTTTGGAAGAGGACTTGGAATGGTCTGAGCCTCAGATTAAAGACTCTGGGGTAGATACGTGCAGTAGCACAACTCTAAACGAGGAGCATAGCCATAGTGAGAAGGTACTGAGATTGTGGAGCCTGCATTTTAACCTGCTCATTTGGTCTTTGTTTGCTCTCTGTCACTCATTAAAGCAGTACATAAAATAAAGACAGGGTGTTTTAGAGACAATGTAGCATTTCTCAAGGTGCAGAAAAGAAAAACAAAATAAAAAATTCCTGCATGCTTTGCTGCTTTTACTGTTTGGCAGCAAAAGAAAAAAATTATTCAGGCACAAAGGAATGCTTGGTCTTATGGTCACATAATAATAGTACTTTGTGGTGTTGCATTAAAAACAAAGTGATTATCAGTAAAGATTATGTTGGATTGGCTTATTTGATTCCCATATATGTATTCCTGGGGCTGAAATTAATTCCATAGTTTAATTCCCAGGTAAAAAGGGAAGAAAATTGGGTCCGTTTGCACAGAAAAGTTGTTTTTCTTTTTTCCCTTTCACTGTCATGTTGGTTCTTTTGTTTTGTTGTCATGCCATTTTGTGCAATGTTGTGTAGTATGAAGTCTTTGCCATCTGCTTTGGTATTTGTTACTTTTGCTGTTAGTTGGTGGGGATTGTGACAAATCTTTTTAGAACTATTAGATGTAATGGGAGAGTATTTGTCTTTGTGCCTGCTTATTTTGCATGGAATAAAGCATGAAACTAGTGTATATCTGGGAAAAAGTGCTATGATTACACAAAACATCTAGAAAGATTATTTAGAATATTTCTCATCACTTTATAACAACATGCACTAATGGAATGATGGAATATTCAGTACAAATACACCAATTAGTTAATGCAAATAGTTGCATTAACTATTATCTATCCAATTCTATTCTAAAAATATGACAAAAGAGAGTATATATACTACTATGCCTTTTAATATAATTTATTACTTTTTATTTTTTTGGATCTTAAAGGATTCTGAGAAATCTGGTATATAATCTGAAAATAAAACTGATATCAGTATATCATATCCATTAAATTTTGAGTTATATTTCCTTTTTAGGATCAGGATTGTTTTGTTAGATTTCAACTATTTTTGACATTATTCAATGGTGATAATATATGTACATACTATATGTACTTGTATAAATATCTGTATTGATTTAGCAAGAAATAAACATGATTTGATTTTACCAATTGGTATTAGCAATAATTTTTTTAAGTGAAGATTTTTATTCAATCTTTAGAAATACCATATTTACTTGAACATAAGAGGAGGTTCCCCTCCCATCTCATCAGCATGGGAGAAAAAACTCTCCTCATCTTATATTTGCATACAAGGAAATCTAATTAAATACATTTCCTGTCATTAAACTGCTGCCAAAAGCAGCATGTGACTTTCTTTCCCATTTCCAATTATACCCTTTTCTTCACCAGCCTTAAATGTCTGGCAAATATCACCAAATGCAGCCCCAAACAGTTCACCCACAATCCCTCTGTTAACTCCTCTCTCAACCTGGTTCAGATGATTAGTGTGGCTCTGGTTTCCATGAGGTGGAATGGGAAGAGGTTGCCCTGAGCCTCATTTGCATATACATTTTTAGAGGACCCCAGGACTCATGACAAGAACACCTGGTTCCAGTCATGAGTGGGGGTGCTAATTAGCAGATAAATACTTTGTGGGGGTATCCAGAGTACACACACATACTAAGCACCACTGAGCTATGGAGTCAACATGACTAGAAACACTGTTGACTGGTAGGGCCCAGACCAATGAACTGTATGGCAAATCATGAGCCTTTTGGCTTTGGACTAATATCATGCATATTTTATACTATGTATAGTGGGCACGTCTACATGTTCATTAATGCGCAGTAGTTACTATGCATTTAGTTTAGTACTTGCCTAATGAAGTACTAACTAAATGTCCAGTAATTACAGTTACTGTGCAGTAGTGCTGACGCAAGGTGTTTTTGTGATGCTTACTGCACAGTCGTCTAATAACACTCTGCAGGAGCATATTAGCACGTTTTTTGACTGGCAAGCTACTGCACAATGTTATTAGGCTACTGCACAGTAAGTGTCTCATGTAGACACACCCAGTAGGTACAAAAGTGGTGCTTAAAAGTGTGTTTATGGAATACTTGTCCTAAATCTTGCAGAAGTTTCAAAAAAGGTAAATGCATCAATTCTGGATGAATTAAGTCTGTGGTTACCCACATTAATTTGCCTATAAGTCAGTATCTTTAAATTTTCCCCTCCCTTCCATGTGCTGAGGGACAGCAGGGTTTGACAGTAAGGGTGGAAGTTGGAGCTGCAAGGGGAAGAAGTTGCGGGGACAGAGGACAAGGGGGCTACCTAATCCCCT